CTTTTCAAATTAGTATTTTTGGTTTTCCTGGACATATACCCAGGAGTGGAATTGCTGGGTCATATAGTAGTTCTATTTTTACCTTTTTGAGGAACCTCCATGCTGTTCCCCAAAGTGGCTGCTCTAATTTACACTCCCATGAACAGTGCATGAGAGTTTCCTTTTCTCCACATCCTCATCAGCATTTTTTATTTTTGGACTTTTTGATGATAGTGTTGCAGTGAGAAGGAAAAAAGAGGAATGAGTTTTTTCTCTTTCCCTTTCCCAAGAACAAACGAGATAAAGAGAAGAGTGAGAAGGCCTGCACATTCCTAGTGTTTTTACTTTAACTGCTCCTAACTCAGCATATCTGTAACTAACTTTGCTTTTCTGCTCCCTAACTCTGCAGGAGCTACAATTCACAATTTTCCTTTGACTCTATGCTAAATACATCCTGTATCTGGTGTTTACCCTTACAACACCCTTCCCCTTGTAGTTATCAGAAAGAAGGTGAGAGCCACCAAACTGCTAGATTCAATTACTGGGTTGCTGACTGCAGTCTCTGACTGTCTTTGAAACAATGCAAGAGAAAGAAATCAAGATCCTATCACCTTTGTTCCTCATCAACGACTCCTGACTTTGAGCCCTTGCCTTATATAAGCCCCTAGACTCCTCATAGAGTTGGGGTACAGTTCTTGGGGCATGAGCCTACTGTGTTCCCCTTTCTGCATCTGAGAATAAAACCCACCTTTCTATTTCCTCCAGACTCTGTCTCCGTATTTTTTATTTGACTTTGGTGGGCAGAGAAGGCCAAGATTTTGGTCAGCAACAGTAGCCATGCGGTTGGATGGCATCAGTGACTCAATGGACATCATGAATATGAGCAAACTCTGGGAGATGGTGAAGGACAGGGAGGCCTGGCGTGCTGCAGTCCATGTGGTTGCAAAGAGTTGGGTACGATTTAACAACTGACCAACAACATTCTGAACTTCTGTCTGCTTTGAACAATGCATTCTGCCCAACTTTTGTTTCAGGCGAAGATCCTGTTGCTGAAATATTTTGAGACACACTAATCTAGTGAGAAGATATAGGAAGGGAGAGAGCACCATTTTAGGCAAATACCTGTCATTGGCTTTGGAGTGACCTTCATTGAGGCTGCTCATCCCTTGGTCAGACTTTGGTCATTATTCCACTTGGAAGGGAAGAAGTCTCACCTAGGCTGTGTCCTCTCTTCCTTCATGAGCACAGGGTCAAGGTCACAGTCTGGGCAGGCCATCTTTCTTGAAACCTTTCTCATCTTTCTATTTGTGCTCTCAGGCCAGCCCGAAGGCTCCCCCACCCACCTGCCATCCCACCCCTAAAGTCTTTCTTCAGTTCAGTTCAGTTCAATCGCTAAGTCGTGTCCAACTCTTTACGACCCCATGGACTGCAGCATGCCAGGTTTCCCTGTCCATCAGCAACTCCCAGAGCTTGCTCAAACTCATGTCCATCGAGTCAGGGATGCCATCCAACCATCTCATTCTTTTTTTCTTTTCCATCTCATTCTCTGTTATTCCCTTCTCCTTCTGCCTTCAATCTTTCTCAGCATCAGGGTCTTTTCCAAGGAGTCAGTTCTTCACATCAGGTGGCCAAAGTATTGGAGTTTCAGCTTCAACATCAGTCCTTCCAATGAATATTCAGGACTGATTTCCTTTAGGATGGACTGGTTGGATCTCCTTGCAGTCCAAGGGACTCTCAAGAGTCTTCTCCAANCAATACTCAACTTTCTTTATAGTCCAACTCTCACATCCATACATGACTACTGGGAAAACCATAAGTTTGACTAGACGGACCTTAGTTGACAAAGTAATGTCTGCTTTTAATATACTGTCTAGGTTGGTCATAGCTTTTCTTCCAAGGAGCAAGCGTCTTTTAATTTCATGACTGTAGTCACTATCTGCAGTGATTTTGGAGCCCCCCAAAAGAAAGTCTGTTACTGTGTCCATTGTTTCCCCATCTATTTGCCGTGAAGTGATGGGACTGGATGGTGTGATCAAAGTCTTTCTTAGATGGGATCAAAGGTGTGACACTAACTGAAAAGCTTTTTAAAATGACTCAAGATCAAGGTGTTATTATGACATAATTTGACAAGGAAGTGGAAAGACTGGAGGGGATGGCGGAGAGGGCAGGAAGGGAGGGGGAGGAGAGATCCCAAGCCTGTAAACACTCCCAGGGCTACTTTTAGCAATTAGCATGTACTGTCTAGTCACACACACTTCATAGACTCAGTAGAAAGGGATGCAGAGAGTGTGCAGCAGCCTCTGCTGGTGCTAGTTAGGTGAAGTACACTAATTAGAATGGGGTGGGAAGCCAGAAAACACTCATCCGATTCTGAATGAGGCTCATTGAACCAATGGGAAGCTTGCTGTGGTAACACACCCTGTTGGAAAGGTCAAAAGCAGCAAATGGAAGCTTCAGGCAGATCAGGAGTGTACTCTTACAAGCAGCCCAAGACTGACTGGTCTCCAGAAAAAGGACTGGCACCTCTGCTGACTGTCGAATTCCCAAATGCAAGCTTGCTCTCCAAATTCCATGACAAGCTCGATAACCCCACCTCCCCTGAGGGCCTCTTTGCTGTTGTGTGCAGTTATCTATTAAAGGAAAGGTGACTTTTCGAAACAACATTCCCTGTGTGGTAGGTGTTCAGGTGGGGGGGAACTTAAGTGATTTGGGGAGTCATGACGATGAGGAAGAAGATAAACATAAAATGGGGGGAAAAACACACCGAGATTATAAACAGATCAGAAAATCTGGATTTTTAGAAAATGATTTTTGAAGAATATCTATTCTCCCCAAAGTAGAGGATATGGGAGAGAAAAAAACAGGCCTAACCTTTCCATTAAGATTCTTAGGAACAGATGGGTTTCATCCCCAGGGGATGATAGCATAGTAATTCAACTCCCTTGTCCCCACGACTAAAAATAAGGATGATTAGAGAATGGAATCTTAGCTCTCTGTCATCTCAGACAGCCAAGCCTTATTGCTGGACTTGGGAATTCAGCAAGCAAACACACATTTATAAAGGCAAAACGTTGGCCCTTTGTAAATATTTTGACTGTTATCCACCCATTATTAAGGCAGTAAGGTTGAGGACCACAGGGTTGAGGACACCCATGGAGTCCTCTGGCCAACTGCTGTCTGAGTGGGTCAGAGAGTACATGCCTGAAACGACTCCAAAATCATCTGCCCTCTCTCAGACCATCTGTCCACGGGTCTCTGTATCTTCAGCAGCTGGTGGCCAACTGCACGTCCTCCAGAATTTCTCAGGCTGTGTCTCCAGATGCCTTCCGCACTGTTTGGAATGTCATCCTCATCTCACAGCCTGTTGTCTGCATTCAGGGATCTCTCCCGTGGCCTTCACTGCATCTACATCATGTGCTCATGTTCAGAGCGGTGAGAAGACAGCCAGCCATGGACAGGTGAAACTGTCACTTCAACAGTTTCTCAGATGTGGCAAAATTATTCCAGCAACAAGAGAACCTAAAGAATGTCTCCATGGGCGCTGGTCAGGGGGACACGTGAATCCTTACAGGCAGGGCTCAAAGATTTCTGCAGGGTCAAGGCCAATACTGTGGTCATGGAGCAGTAAAAGACTGTGCCTAGGCCTGAGTCTTTGGCTTAGATGGTAAAGAATGTGAGAGACCTGGGTTCGATCCCTGGGTTGGGAAGATCCCCTGGAGGAGGGCATGTCAACCCACTCCAGTGTTCTCACCTGGAGAATCCGCATGGACAGAGGAGCCTGGCGGGCTACAGTCCATAGGGTCTCCAAGAGTCAGACATGACTGAGCGACTATGCACAACATAACAACAGGCCTGGGAGAAGGAAAAGTGGGGGATACAGACAAATCCTGAAATACCTTGGACTGGGCCAGAGAAAGACAGATTACACACCAGCCTGTGATTTTGTGTGTGTGTATGTGTGTGTGTGTGTGTGTGTGTGTGCGTGCACACATGTGTGCATCTTTATTTTTGTAACTGGAGGATAATAGCTTTACCATGTGGTGTTAGTCTCTGCCGCACAACAAAGTGAGATATATATGTACATGTACCCCCTCCCTCCCGAGCCTCCCCCCCACCTCCCATCCTGCCCCTCTAGGTCATCACAGAGAGCAGAGCTGAGCTGCCTGTGCTATGCAGCAGCTTCCCCCTAGCTCTCTGTTTGTGTGTGTGCATCTTTAAGTTACTTTTGGGATTCCCCAAATACTGAATTCTCTGAGACCCTGAAATGATAGCAAGTGTAGAGGCTAAGTTGCTCTGGTTCTGTTTCCCTTCAACTAGAGTTGTACAATTTATGATAGTCTTTGGCTCCTGTGAGTTGGCTACCAGATGGCGCAGAATCCATGAGAGGTAAAGACATACTTATTTAACTCTTCCAGAACCCCACAGAGAGACCTACACACATATACACACAAACACGCATGCATGCACACATACTCACACACAGCAGGACTTTATTACTATCTGTGTTGAGCTGATGTTTCTGCTCTCCTAGGAAAAGGAAGGAGGGAAGTTGTTAACGGTGTCTGTATATACCTGAGTTGGTATAAGGCTTTTTTTTTTTTTTCAGGGTTTACCTCTGGCGCTGGAAAGTGGAAAATCAACTTGAAAGAGAAAACCAAATTACCCTGCCATCTAGAAATCTCAGGAGATAGGCAACACAAAGTGAACTTGTTTTATTGGTATCTTCAAGGCCTCCTGTTGGCTCTAGTCATCCTTAAGATCTCAGGGGAGCAGATTCTCCCTCCCATAGAGGTACTGATGGGTAGACTGGCCCCATGGGCTACTCCAGGAGAGAATGGGGTCCTCACACAGCCACTGAGGACCACAGGTTGGATAACAAGGACACTCCTGAGATACAGTATCATAGACAAGACCTGATTTAGAATCTGGGCTCCACCATCTACCAGCTGTGTGATCTTGCCCATGGACTTTGAGTTCTGGGCTTCAGTTTCCTTGTGTGATGCGATGATCAGAATTGTCTAAAATGACATTCCGGGAATGGAATTGTCTAAAGTGGGTGCTTTCTCTGGGTTGCAGGGATACTGAGCCATCTGGGACTGGATGGGCTTTCCTGTCTTCTCTCTTGGGAGCTGCTGCATCTCAGGTAAGCCTGGGGGCCCAGGGGTCCTTTCCTTGACAGGAGGGTCTCTAGTGTCCACATTGGTGTCTCATATCCTAAGATCTGGGCATTTGGCATTTTCAGACAACTCCTGTAAACAGCAGGCAAATCCAGACTGCCTGGCACCACTGTCAAGTTTGTTCTGGCACTTGGACCACGTGAAGAAAGTAACAGTTGGGGTAGGGGCCTCCACTGCCGCGCAGACCCACACTGTGGGCCCCAAAGCTTCCTGGCTCCTGTGTGTCTCTCTGTGGGAGGATGGGAGGATCCAAGGGACCTTAGCTTCCACTTACCTTGTCGATCCTTGCTTGATTCACTTGCCTTCCCCCAATATAGCATACTGCTTAGTTCATGCCTGTGATGTTGTGGAATTTGTTTTGAATACTAGTAAGAGGATCCTATCTTGCATGCCACCTTGTTTGCAGAGATGGGGTTAAAGACATTCGCTTTAAGAGATTGGGGTAAAAATTCACTTGAAAAGCCAGGCCCAGCGGCAATAGCCTGAAAGGCATGAAGTGGTGCCTGGGGTTGGCCTACACAGGAAATGATAAATTCAGTGTGGCTCTAGTGTGGAATGCCTGGTGGGGTGGAGATAAGACATGAGATGAAGCTCCAGAGGGATATGGGCCTAAGGAAATGTTTCCTTTCCTTGAGAGGAATTGAATATCTATAAAGACTTCTAAGCTTGGGAATGACAGGGTTAGCCTCTCCTTCCCCCAGCCTCTGGTCCCTTGGAAAATACTTAGGGCAGGCAGTGTGAGAGTGGCCTGGAGGAGTGGGGAATGGTTGTTAGGGAGCAAAAGCAATCTCTGATGAGGCCCAAATGGAGCTGTGAAAGTGGGAATGGAGAGAAGAGGTCTTTCAAAAGAATAATGAACAGGATTCACTGGCCATTATGTGTTGGGGTGGGATGTATTAGAGGAAGGAGTTGAAAGGAAGAAGAAAAGCAAATGATGCTCAACAGATATCATTTTTCTTTCCTTCTTTCCCTCTAGTGGTCAGAGGTACCCAAGAGCCAGGAGATCCTCCCTGGGGAAAGGGCTGACTGGCTCATTTTGAGAGGACAAATTGGAAGCCTTGGTTCTCAAGCATCAGAATGTCCCCTAGCCTCTTCACCTGGCTTGGTGGCCATTTGCCCACTTGCGCACACCTGTCCATGTTGGGCTCCAACATACATCCCCTCTCTCCCTGTTAAAAGACAAAGAATACCAATAACCATGACTATGTTGAGACCTTATGCAGTTTGTCTAAAAAAAGAATCTGCTGTCGAGTTATGAGGATCTGGACTTCCCTGGCGGTCCAGTGGTTAAGACTCTGCACTTCTACTGCTATGGGCAGAGGTTCAGCCCCTGGTTGGGGAATCCCACATGCTGTGTGGCATGATGGAAAAGAGGATCGACCATCGAATATGGAGCTCAGGTTTGGCAAGCACCGCACATCTGTCTATCTAGATAAATATTTTTCAATACAAGGCTTTTCTTTCATCTTTAGAATATTCAATATCACAGATAGGTCTGAGGAATCATTGGCATTCGGTTGTGCCTGTAGTTGGACAACTTTGTTGTTGTTCAGTCACTAAATCTTGTCTGAATGTTTGCGACCCCATGGACTGCAGCACGCCAGGCTTCCCTCTCCTTCTCTATCTACAAGAGTTTGTTCAAATTCATGTCCACTGAGTCAATGATGCCATCCAATCATCTCATCCTCTGCTGCCCCCTTCTCCTCTTGCCCTCAACTCTTTCCCGGCTTCAGGGGCTTTTCCAATGAGTCAGCTCTTCATCTCAGGTGGCCAGGGTATTGGAGCTTCAGCTTCAGCTTCAGCATCAGTCCTTTCAATGAATATTCAGGGTTGATTTCCTTTAGGATTGACTGGTTTGATCTCAGCTACTTAAATCTTCTTAATCACCCTGGGGAAGAGCTCCTTTCTCAGACACATAGAAGCCATCCAGAATTTTTGTAATGTCTTTGCTTTTAAGCAGCCATGGCTTGCTGAATCAAAGCAGCTGAATTTGCTGTAAGTTCAGTGTTGTTTCCTTCCAAAATTAACTCATCGTTATGGTCTTGAGATACTTAACAAGCAACACCTGGCTTCATCTAAACCCTGTGTATGTATTTTGTGTCCAGGAAATTTTGAAAATAACGTGGATGGAGGAGTATACACAGACGTCACCTGGTAACTAAAGCCCAGGGTAGCACCCTTGGTTGTGTCCTGTCCAAGGCTACAGAGAGTGCAAACGACAGCCAGTCCCTTTCTGTTGAATGGTGCCCTACCATTTGTCAACCTGGAGCTGCTGCTCTTTCTTCACAAAGAGACTGAATTCTACATTGATGTCATTGAACTCCCTCTGCAGGGTTCCCCCGGGGCCTGTCACAGTCGTTGTGCTTCTCTTCAGAGGGATGTTGATGTTTTCTGGAATGCTGACAGTTTAATTGTTGTGAATGGTCTTCATTCTCACAGTAGATGCAGCAGAGAGAGTTGTGTATTTAGGTTAAACCTGGTAAGCAAGTGCGAAGCCTGGTGTAGCTGTGTACGGAGGGGCGGGGCAGCTTTAGCCTTTGCTGGAAGTGTCAGTCGCTCACTGGTGTCTGACTCTTTGCGACCCTGTGGACTATACAGCCTATGGAATTCTCCAGGCCAGGAAATGGGAGTGGGTAGCCTTTCCCTTCTCCAGGGGATCTTCCCGACCCAGGAATCAAACCCTGATCTCCTGCCTTGCAGGCAGATTCTTTACCAACTGAGCTATCAGGGAAGCCTGAGCCTTTGCTGGGAAGAAGCCAAATGCTTTACATATCTGTAAATATTTAATCCTCCCAAGACTCTGTGGGCATTCGTGTTCCCCTTTCATAGTCTGGGAAACTGTGGCTCTGACAAGTGACTATATCTACCTGAAGCTCTTGACCTGCCCCCAAAATGCATTCCTGGGATAGGCAAGGCGGTCAGTGGTCCAGGGTGTGACTTCCAAGGGCTCCATGTTCTGCTCAGTGCTTAGGGAATGCTGCTTTCCTGAGAATCCTCATGTGGTCTCGAACCCAAACCAGTGGTTCCTTTGACCATCCTCATTATAACCATTGTTAGGATAAGCAATATGAAGTTGAAGCAAGATAGTTAAAAATATCCACAAAATCAAAATAAATTGCAGCACAATATTTATCTATTAGTAGTAAAGTAAAGCAGGCAGCCTCTCAGTACTGGGTTCTCCTTTGGCCCATGTGCAGATATTGGTTTTCTTACTACAAGCACAGTGCCATTTCCTGGTCATCATGATTATGCTATAAACTGATGTTGAAAATTAGCAGGTCATAGGCTGTATCCAGGCTTCAGATGTGTATTATTAGACCTGGAAGGTGACTTAAATTTTCTTTAAAAAAAAAAAAAATCAAGATAGTTATCAACAATGAAATAAATATTAAGAAATTTTGCCTAAAAACCTTATTCTGACTTTTCTTGAAAATTCAGAAGACTCATAACCCAAGACCCACTTTCCCCATAGCAGCAACCAGCCGGAACTAGCAGTTATCCCCACAGCTGTCCCAGTCCCTGGCCTGTTTGCCACATTCCCCCGGAGCTTGCTTCATTCACGTGGGTTTCCTATCTGCACCTTCCAGTCATCTGAGTTCATGACTCCTGTATGCTGCAGATTGAGATCTAATGATTATTTACATTAGATCACATTAACAGTATGAATACTATGAGAGAAGTGTGTGCCCCAAGACCTGAGGTCTGTGGTTGAGTACGATGGTGGTGGTGGTGTGGTGCCTGATGTTTATTGAGAGAAGGGATGTGGGCATATAAAACGTAAATGTTTTTACATCCCAGTGCAAAAACACTCCACAGCCAGCCCAGCAGACTCCAATTCCTGATGGGAGTGAGTGCTTCCTAACTCTTCTGGTCCCAGCCCCCAGCCCCAACCATACCCAGAAGCCAGCCTCTCCAAGGAGTAGCCCTTCTCTGTTCCAAAGGCATGAGCAAGATTAACACCACCAGCAACTGTTCCTGGCCTGCCCTACCCTGGGGTAGGGTCTTTAGCTGCCAGATGAAATGACTGAGATCCTGGGAGAACATTGTCTGCAACAAATTCAGATTCCTGAAGTGGCAGAGTGGCTCTGGGTGTCAAGGGGAGGAAAGTTGAGGGGAGCTGTACCTGAAAATTCATATCTCTTGTCCAGTTATTGATTGGTTTTTTGTTTATTTGTTTTTGTTTTTTTTATTTATACAACTCATTGAATTTGCCTCAGAATAAATTATAGTAAATATCTATCTTTCAAAAAGTTTTATTGAGATGTAATCCATATGTTGTACAGTTCACCCTTTTCAAATACAACCCAATGGTTTCCAATATATTACAATATTTTTAAAAATTGTGATAATGAAACCGTTTACCTCAGATGGGGACTTGAACCCATGTTCTGGGACCTGAACCCTTGTGGCTGGGACTCGAACCTGTGTTCTTCCAATTGAGATTGTAGACCTGGTTTTAGGACCAAATGAAGCTCAGGTTCTTGATGTTTCATCTCAGAAAGAATTCAGTGAGAGACAAAATGACAGGTTAGAAGTGGATTTATTCAGAGAGAAACATACTCCACAGACAGAGTGTGGGCCATCAGAGAGGGTGAATGGGGCCTCAAAATGTGGCATGGTTAGCTTTTATGGGCTGGGTAATTTCATTGTCACCCTGCTTATTTAACTTATATGCAGAGTATATCATGCAAAATGCTGGACTGGATGAAGCACAAGCTGGAATCAAGGTTGCCGGGAGAAATATCAGTAACCTCAGATATGCAGATGACACCACCCTTATGGCAGAAAACAAAGAGGATCTAAAGACCCTCCTGATGAAAGTGAAAGAACAGAGTGAAAAAGCTGGCTTAAAGCTCAACATTCGGAAAACTAAGATCATGGCATCCGGTCCCATCACTTCATGGCAAATAGATGGGGAAACAATGGAAACAGTGACGGATTTTATTTTGGGGGGCTTCAAAATCAC